CATCATCATCATCATCATCATCAACAACAACATTATCACGGATATTCCCATCGCCATCGGGATCGACATCAACATCACTATCGTCGATGCCATCATCGTCACCATACCTACCCGTGCCACTAGAATCAACACCCTCCCCGCCGCCATAGCACTCGCCATCCGCATCAGCAACAGCATCATCACAAACCTCGCCAACACGATCATAATCGTCATCAGCATCAGCAACGAATTCACCGTCATTATCATCATCATCACAATCATCATCATCATCATCATCATCATCATCATCATCATCATGATCAACAACATCAACATCATTCACATATTCAACGCTATCATCACCACATTCGCCATGAGCATCAACATCAACATCAGCATCATCAACATTATTATCAGCATCAGCATCGCCATCAGAAACATAATCATCATTTTCGTCAAGCGCATCACCATCACCGTTGTCGTCATGATAATCGTGACCATCATCATCACAGCCATCATCAGTAGCATACTCACCACCGTCTTCACCCCCAGCATCACCAACAACAGCACGATTCAACATCACCGAGGGCATCATCATCACCACCGTCTCAAGCGAGAAATCATTATGAGAGAGAGAGCCAAAGACAACTGCTTTCTTCAAAACATTTCGAAGAACTGTCAAGCGAGAGCTCGACTCCTGAGTAAAGTGTGCGGCAGGCTTGAGCGAAAAGCCTGGGCGACAGCGTGCAAATGGCCAAGAAGGAGCGCAGTTCCTTGGCAAATCGCGAGGACGCTTCCAACGAAAACGCGATTCTCCCCACAGATCCGTTGAAATCCATCTGAATTCTGAGGAATCCTTCGGGCTCCGTCGGGACCCTCTGAAACCCAGAAGGATCCGAAAGACCCCTCCAGAGCCCGAACAAATCCATAGGAATCCGAATTCGCTAGAGATTCACAAACATCAAAAAAAGGAATCCGCAAGTATCCCGAAGACTCCTTCAGAAATCCTCTGGACTCCAAAAAGAATCCTGAGGGATCCCAAGGAACCCCTGGGAATTCAGAACACTCCGCGCACACCCGTAGGAATCCCTTGGAATGTCCAAGATTTTCCAGGAATCCAGACGGACCAGCAAGTATCCAGGAATGCCTGGGATCCCATAGGAATCTCGTAGGCGCAACGCCCCCCCCCCCCCCCCGATTCGAACACATCTACAACTACACACAGCAAAACTGCACCTCGTTGCGGGGGCCAGGGGTGGCAATCATAATTCGATTTGGCGCGTCGGTCGGTCCGGGTGCACGGACATCGCCTCATGACCCACGATGGAAGGCGATGGTCGTGCCGACGACGTTGCGTGCCAAGCGTGGAAGCGATCACCACGTTGCACGGCGAGGCTTGGCGGCAGCCGCAAGAAACATCATAACACGAAAAAGCGTTCACGCTCGGACTGGGGATCCGGCACGAAGAAGAATTTGAAAGCGCGGGGGATCGGATCGCGAATTTGCTGCTGGGGCACAGGCGGGGGAGGGAAGCGGGCTGCGCGACGTCGAAGCCCCCAGGCATACGGCTGGCTTCGCTGAGCCAGGGGATGCGGGATGTCGGTGGGGAGCGGCCCAAGGGGCGGGGCCTCGGCGATGGGCAGCGCGGGCAGCCGATGCTTCGCGAAAAGGGGACACGTACAGAACGGCACTTACCGGCCGGGGCGCGGCACATGTAGGGGGCGCGAGCGGCGGCACCCGACATGCACCCCGCCCCGCTGGCTAGGTGTAGTTCTATAAGTGCTCCGTTTTGCGGGGATGTCTCCGGTGAAACCAGCACGTACAGAACTACACCTAGTGCCCGGCTAAATGTAGTTCTGAACGCGCTGGATGTCTCGCGCGGGGCGAGCACGCACAGACCGGCACCTAGCGAAAGGGGCGGGGCACACGTCGGGTACGTCGTCGCGCCCCGCCCGCAGAGTCAGGAAGGCAAGGGCCGCTGAACCCCCTGCCAGCCTCCGGGCGGAGGTGTCTGAACGTCCCCGGGCTATCAGAAGGAATTCCAACTGCGGCCTCCGCCCACATCGCTCCCCCAATCAGAGTATCTCGCCTGGTCACTATGTTCACCATTCCGGCCCGCTGCTTTGCCCTCCCCCTCCCCCGTTTTTCCTCTACCTGCCGCCGTCCATTTCCCTGAGCGTTTCCTAATTGCCCCTGGCCCCCGCGTGGCGGCAAACGCCCGCGCCCCCCCGCAGCTGAAAGACTCACCTTGCGCTCATCCTCCAATCCATTCGTGAGGCGCAAACCTTGGTTCCAGACTGACATTGGCAAGACACGCCGAAGCCCCGGCAAATCCAACAGGCGCGATCGGCCCCCTCGAATGGCGGGCGAACCAATACGTAAGACGATGTCGCAAAAGTAAGTTTGGAATTCCGGGATCCGCGCAAGAAGCTAATCCACTCGCCCAAAGTGTAGTTCTATGCCTGTCCGACCGATGCGATGCGATGCGCCCACACACACCCCTCCCCCCCTCCCCCTGGGGGGCGTCTGAAATCCGTCGTTCTCAACAACAAGAACAACAACAGCAGCAGCAGCAGCCGCAGCCGCAGCGCAGCCGCAGCAGCAGCAGCAACATAATGAACAACAAAAAACGACGACGACGACGACGACGACGACGACCACAACAACAACAACAACAACAACAACAACAACAACAACAACAACAACAACAACAACAACAACAACAACAACACAACCACTTACACCAACAACAACAGCAGCAGCAGCACCGGCACCAGCAGCAGCAGCAACAACGACAACAACAACAACAACAACAACCACCACCACCACCACCACCACGACCACCACCACCACAACAACAACAATAGCAGCAGTAACAGCAACAACAACAGCAGCAGCAGCAACAGCAACAACAACAACAACAACAGCAACAATCACTTTACCCGAACGCTCAGTGTTCTCACCAGTGCCAGGGTTTTCATGCGACGCCAGCCAATACCCCCACTTTGTGGGGGGGCAGTGCAAGCTCTACCAAATATCCACACGACTCTTCGCCACCACCCACACCCAGCTTCCCGCCCTATGACGTTCGGACACTTCACTTCGTGGCCTGCGGACGACCGTGGCTACTACACTGGCGTGGAGTACACACCCACAGAAGTTGTTAAGCCTACGTTCGTACACCCACAGAAGTTGTTAAGCCTTGTTAACCCACAGAAGTTGTTAAGCCTTCCACAGAACATCTGTTGCATATGATGCATATGGTACATGATACACATGATACACATGATACGTACTCACAAGATAGTTGATCACATCTTTAGGGCAAATTCCTGAGGGATGTGGGAATACACAAGAGAGAGAGGATATGGTTGTCCCGATGGTTGTCTCGATGGTTGTCCCGATGGTTGTCCTGATGGTTGTGGTTGTCCCGATCGTTGTCCCGATGATTGTCCCGATGGTTGTCCTGATGGTTGTGCTTGTCCCGATCGTTGTCCCGATGACTGTCCCGATGATTGTCCCGATGGTTGTCCCGATGGTTGTTCCGATGGTTGTCCCGATGGTTGTCCCGATGGTTGTGAGCGATGCCGGATCCTCACGCCCCCCGCCCGAGGAGGAGGAGGAGGAGGAGCAGGACAAGGAAAACCATTGGTTTTTTTTAGGATTCGGACAGCGCGCGCGGGTAGAAATTTTGAAAAGTCGTGCATGTGTTTTTCGAGGACCTACGGTGCGATTCGTGTGATTTTATGATGCGCGGTGCTAAAATTCTTAAGAAGCCCAATGGTTTTTGGAGATTTCGGCGTGCGCGCGCGAAGAAAAAACGAATGTGTCCCGCATGGTATTATTTGACAGGGATGATGGCCCTGGCAGGTGCGCAACCGTTGTCGCAGAAGTTCGAAAAAGTTGCTCGCAAAAGCCCGTTTGACAGAAATGTTTAAAAAGTGTTGGGTTTCCTACGAATCCGCAAGAGCGCGCGGGATGAGATTTTGACAATTTTTTGTTGAAAAACCATTGGTTTTTTGATGTTTTTATGTTAAAATCGCTGCGAACACTAAGGTTTTGGAAGGATTTCGTCTTGCGCGCGCGAATGTCCACTTTACCTTATTTTTTGCAAGGGATTCTTGAAATTTGATTATATTAGAACAAGAAATGTCATTTTCTATTGTTTTTTGCAAGGGAAAGCGGATTACAACAAAACAACCGGATCCTGTACACACCCTCTTTTCTGAGGCTTCCTCACGAAAATGATGAAAATGTAGCTGCGGCCTAGGCGGCGCAGGGGGGGCGCGCACCAGGGGGCCCAACAATAATTATTCTTTAGAATAAATAATGTTCAACAACAACAACAACAACAACAACAACAACAACAACAACAACAACAACAACGATAATCACAACAAGAACAACAACAACAACAACAACAACAACAACAACAACAACAACAACAACAACAACCACGACGACGACGACGACGACGACGACAACACCACCACCACCACCACCAACGACAACAACACCATCAACAGCAACAGCAGCAACAACAACGACGACGACAACAACAGCAACAGCAACACCAACAACAGCAGCAGCAGCAGCAACAACAACAACCACAAAGATAACGACAACGACAACGCCAACGACAACAACAAACTCGCCATCGCTCGGACGTCCATTCCCGATCCATGGTTCGGCTTCGTGCGCTGCGTTCTCTCGCGAGAGGGTCCCAAGTGCTCCTCGATGTTCCCCGCCGTGGGAAACGGCACACGCCCGAGCGACGCCAGGAAATGCGAGCAGGGCCCCGCCTCGGCGCCGACGACCACGGCCAAGCCGCGCCCGCCCCGAAAGCCCCCGCCCCCCGCCGCCCCTCTCCCTCCTCTCATCTCCTCGCACCCTCCAGGACGCCCCGGATTCCACACGCGCCTAGCGCGCAGCTCTCCCTTTCCTCGTCCTCCTCCTCCTCCTCCTCCTCCTCCTCCTCCCGGCGGCCGCGCGCGCCGGGGCCCTGCCCGCCCCGCCCCGTCCTTGTCCGGCCACTCGGCGAAGTCCCTGCAGCCCTTCGGGGGGGCCTGGCGCCGCGCGAGCGGCGCCGCGGGCGCGCGCGGGCCCCAGCGGGCCGACCCCCCTCCCCGGGGGGCGCGGCCTGGGCCCCACGGGCCGCGCTGTCCCTCCAGAATGGGGGTTCGGGCGCCCCTCGACTGTCGACGGGGCATCTCCCCAGCTCGGGTGGGCCCTTTTTTTCAAATCCGTGCTTCGGTGCGGATCGTAAGTGCGCCTCGTCTCCGTCGTCGTCGTCGTCGGCGTCGTCGTGGTCGTGGTGCGTGTTGCTCTGCTCGGGATCTGTTTCCCTTATGCAGTCACCACCACCACCACTCGGGTGGTGAGATGGTGGGGATCTGGACGGGGATGGAGGTTGGGGCAGGGATCGGTTCAACGATGCCTGGGGGGTAAGAGTGCAGGGCGCACTCCTCCGCTTGCTGTCGGCGGGAGTTCGGCTTCGGCTGGGCGTGGCACGGTGCCGCTGGGCCTAGCTCGGCCTCCTGGACAAACAAGCGTTCCAAATGCTCCGCCCGTCCGTGGGGAGCGGGAGCAAGGGGGAGGGTGGGGGAGAGAGGGAGGAAGAGGCCGACAGGGGGGGGGGGGCTCTGGAGGGGCAGGGAGGCGGGAGGGGTCAGGAAGGGGGAGGGAGGGAAGGAGGGGGAAAGGAATGCAGACTCGACCTGGACCGATGGAAGGGTGGGGTGCTTGCCCGCGTACGCCGACGTCCAGGCCGACCTCGCAAAATTCGAATGCGGGGACGGGAGATTCCCGACTTGACCTCCAGCCGCTGCAGCCGAAAAACACAAAGATCGTAGGCGTGTTGGCGGACAGACAGAGCACACCCGCGAAGCTCGTCTGGGCAGCCATCACTCGACGGATTATGATCCCTCCTGCTCGATGTCAGGCAGCATCGGAACCTCCAACAAGGGCGGCACCAGGTACAAACATGCTGAGATTTGCTGGCAGCGGTCGGCCGCCGTCCACTGTCAGCAATACGAGTTACACTGTCTAATTCCACCCTTGGACATTCAGGACAGACTATGGCTGCGACACGAATGACAGACTGAGCAACATCTTTGTCTTAAGAAACTCACCGAGCTCAGCCTGGCAAGGCTGCGTTTTTTCACTATTCCACCTGCCCCTCCTCTTCCTACCACTCCTCCACCTGCCCCTCCTCCTCCTCCACCTCCTCCACCTCCTCCTCCTCCTCCCCCTCCTCCTCGTCCTCCCCCCTCCTCCTCCTCCTCCTCCTCCTCCTCCTCCTCCTCCTCCTCTCATCATCATCATCATCATCATCATCATCATCATCATCATCACTCCTTATCCCTCCTCCGTCTCCATTCCCTCCTCCGCATCCTCCTTATCTTCCTCCTCCTCCTCCTCCTCCTCCTCATTCTACTCCTCCTCCACATCATCACCATCATCACCATCACCATCATCATCAGCAGCAACATCATAAGCATCACTCTCACCATCGCCATCATCATCACCATCATAATCATAACCACCACCACCACCACCACCACCACCATGACCACCACCACCACCACCACCACCATCATCATCATCATCAACATCATCACCACCACCACCATCATCAGCATCATCATCAGAATCATCATCCTCATCAGAATCAGCATCATCATCATCACTATCATCATCAGCATCATCATCATTAGTATCCCCAGCATCATCAGCATCAACATCGACATCATCAGCGTCAGCATCAGCATCATCATCCGCATCATCGTCGGCATCAGCATCATCATCACACTCATCAGCAGCACCAGCACCATGATAAGCATCATGATCGTCATCATCAGTTGCATGATCACAACAACCACCACCATTAACAATATAACCATCATCATCACAACCACTAGCCTCAGCATCATCAGCATCATCATCGGCAGCATCAGCATCATCAGCAGCATCATCATGATTATCGGCATCATCATAAGCATCATCAAACTCATCATCATCATCATCATCATCATCATCAGCATCAGCATCACCATCACGATCATCGTAATCATCATCGGGAGCAGTACCATCATGGTCACCATCATCAGCAGCAATATCATCAACATCGTCATCACCATCATCATTAGCTGATCATCAGCACCATCACCATCGACGTCATCGTCATTGTCAGCATCGTCATCGTCATCGTCATCCTCCTCCTCATCCTCATCCTCATCATCATATCTACCATCAGCAGCATCATCATCATCAGAAGCATCAGCATCAGCATCATCATCAGCATCATCATCATGTTCAGCAGCATCATCATCATCATCATCATCATCATCATCAGCATCAGCATCATCATCGTCATGATCAGCAGCATCATCATCATCATCATCATCATCATCAGCAGCAGCAGCATCATCAGCATCAGCATCAGCATCGTCAACATCCTCACCATTATCATCACCACTACCACCACTACCTCCCTGCATCCTCCGACTACGAAATGTATTCACATCCTCCTCCTCCTCCTCCTCCTCCTCCTCCTCCACCTCCTCCTCCTCTTTGTTATCCTATTCCGCTCCGCCTCTGCCTCTGCCCCCTCCTCCTCCTCCTCCTCCTCCACCTCCTCATCCTCCTCTTGATGATCCTCGCCCTTCTCCTCTTCCTCCGTCTCCTCATCAGCATCCTCATCAGCATCATCAGCATCCTCATCATCATCATCATCATCATCATCAGCATCATCATCATCATCATCATCATCATCATCATCATCATCATCATCATCCTCATCATCATCATTACCATCATCATCATCATCATCATCATCATCATCATCAGCATCATCATCATCATCATCATCATCAGCATCCTTATCATCATCATCATCATCATCATCACCATCATCATCATCATCAGCATCATCATCAGCATCATCAGCATCATCATCATCATCATCACTATCATCATCACCAGCATCATTAGCTGATCATCATCACCACCAAAACCATCATCATCAGCAGCATCATCATCCTCATCCTCATCCTCATCCTCATCCTCATCCTCATCCTCATCCTCATCCTCATCCGCACCATCATCATCATCATCATCATCATCATCATCATCATCATCATCAGAATCCCACCAGCCCTCTGGGCGACAGGTGGTCTAACGATACTATTTCTGTTCTCTTACAAAAACCCTCTTCCCCTTCGTGGATGGGTTTATTACCCCTCCCAAAACTCCCTCCCCTGGACCTGGACGGGGCGCCCCGCGAGGTGGCAGAGGGTCATTGTTCGGCTCCTGGGAGGGCAATGTGTTGCCACATCTCACGAGGATCGTGGCCCCCGAGGGGGGGGGGGGGGGCAACCTAAAGGAACCCCCTCTGTTGATCGATAACCTCCCAAGATGGCCCCAAGACGTCCTCCAGGGCTCCCAAGAGGCTCCCAGGAGGGTCCAAAGAGCGCCCCTAGAAGCCCCAAGGGGCCTCCAAGAGGCACCCGAGAGGCACCCAAGAGGCCCCCGAGCGGCCTCAGAGGGCCCAAGATGACCTCTAAGATGGCTCAGATAGCCCAAGCTGGCTCAAGATGGCTCCCAAGACGCTCCAAACTGCCCCAAGACCACTCCAAGCGCGCCCAACAGCGCTCCAAGAGAGCCCTAAGAAGCGGTTAGCGGGCTCCTGAGGGGGGAGCTGAGTTGGGGACCCCCCCATCCTGTAATCGATGGCCTCCAAGATGATTCCAAGAAGCCATCCAGGATTACCACGAGGGTCCCAAGAAGGCCCCCAACACTCCCAGAGAGCACCAGCAGCAGCCGCGATGATACCTCTAGAGGGTTTCATGAGTCCTCGTCCGCGTCGCCCTCATCCTAGTACTCGTCCTCCTCGTCCTCGTCCTCATCCTCCTCCTCCTCCAGCTCCTCCTCCTCCTCCTCCTCCTCCTCCTCCTCTTCCCCTCGCTCCCACGCGGCCCCCAGGGATGGCACGAAGAAGCCTTCCAAGGCCACCGCCGTGCTCCCAGAGATCTCTCGGTTCACCCTGGTTGCTCGCTTTATTTCCCTAGATGTGTCTCTTCGTCCCTTTTCCCGTCAGCTCTCATGGGCAGGGCTTATGAATGGGCTGGTGGGGATACGCGAAGCGTGAAGACTTCCTTTCACCTCCTACCTCCTCATCCTCCCCCTCGACCTTCCACTCCTCCTCCTCCTCCTCCTCCCCCTCACCCTCCTCCTCCCACTCATCCTTTTCCTCCTCCCCCTCCTCCTCCTACTCCTCCTCCTCATCATCATCGTCATCATCGCCCTCTTCCTCTTCCTCCTCCTCCTGCTCCTCCTCATCCTACTGTTCCTCCTCCTCCTTCTCCGACTTACGTTCCTCCTCTGCCTCATCCTCCTCCCTCTAATCCTCCTCCTCCTCCTCCTCCTCCTCCTCATCATCATCATCATCATCATCATCATCATCATCATCATCATCATCATCATCATCATCATCGTCATCATCATCAGCATCATCAGCATCAGCATCAGCATCAGCATCAGCATCACCATCACCATCATCACCGTCCTCATCATCATCATCATCATCATCATCATCATCATCATCATCATCATCATCATCATCATCATCATCCGCATATTCGAGGGCAACTCTACCGCAAGAAACGCGGAGCCGCGTTTGTCCAACACCCCGAGTGGGAGCAGCAAGCATACAAGGCCCGCTACCACTTAGTGCAAGACATGTTCGAGTTTCATGCCCGCCTCGGAGCGCTTAGCCGCGAGGAGGAAGACACAAAGATAATGGAGCATGTCGTTCTCGAGGTGCCGGCAGGCCAAGCAGCGCCTGCCCCCTGCAGTGTCCGACCCGCCAGCGTCTAGTGCGCCGCCCGCTGAGGATCGGGCACTCCTGATACTGGTGGCTAGGGACAAGGGCCACCGGGCCACCGACTTGCGATCAGGGCGAAACACCTGTTTTTCTGCAAGAACTGTTGCCTCTTCGCGCAGGAGCGGTGGCAGGGACTCACTGCCAAGGCGTGCGTTCCTGCCAACACGCGCACGGCCAGTGGTA